GGGAATTCCCAGGAATTCCTGGGAATTTTGGGAATTCTGGGATTCAGAGGAGGCGGACGAGGCGTCCCAGGGTTTCGGCCACCTTGACCCTCACGGCTGGAACCGGATCCTTGAGCAGCAGCTGCAGGGCTGGAACGGCACAGACCGGATTGGGATCGGGATCGGGATTGGATTGGGATGGGATTGGGATTGGGATTGGGTTGGGATGGGATTGGGATTGGGATTGGGATCGGGATTGGGATTGGATTGGGATTGCGATTGGGATTGGGATTGGATTGGGATTGAATTGGGATTGGGATTGGATTGGGATGGGATTGGATTGGATTGGATTGGGATTGGATTGGATTGGATTGAATTGGGATTGGGATTGGATTGGGATTGGGACTGGGATTGGATTGGGATTGAATTGGGATTGGATTGGGATTGGGATTGGATTGGGATCAGAATTGGGATTGGATTGGGATCGGAATTGGGATTGGATTGGGATTGGATTGGGATTGGATTGGGATTGAGATCGGGATTGGAATTGGGATCGGGATTAGGATTGGGATTGGGATTGGGATTGGGATGGGATTGGATTGGGATTGGGTTGGGATTGGGATTGGATTGGGATCGGGATTGGGATTGGATTGGGATCGGGATTGGGATTGGATTGGGATTGGGATTGGATTGGGATTGGGATTGGGATTGAGATTGGAGTCAGGATCAGAATCAGGATCAGGATCAGGAATGGGATTGGGATTGGATTGGGATGGGAATGGGATCAGGATTGGGATTGGGATCGGGATTGAGATCAGGATCAGGATTGGGATTGGGATCGGGATTGGGATTGGATTGGGATTGGGATCGGGATTGGATTGGGATTGGGATTGGGATTGGATTTGGATTGGGATCGGGATTGGATTGGGATTGGATTGGGATTGGATTGGGATTGGATTGGGATCAGGATTGGGATTGGGATTGGATTGGGATTGGATTGGGATGGGATTGGGATCGGGATCGGAATTGGGATTGGGATTGGATTGGGATTGGATTGGGATCGGGATCGGGATTGAGATCAGGATTGAGATTGGATTGGGATTAGGATTGGGATTGGGATTGGATTGGGATCGGGATTGGATTGGGATTGGATTGGGATTGGGATTGGATTGGGATTGGGATCAGGATCAAGGTCAGGATTGGGATCAGGCTCAGGATTTGGATTGGGATCAGAATTGGAGTCAGGATTGGGATCAGCATCTCTGGATTAGGATTGGGATCAGGATTAGGGTCAGGGTCAGGATCAAGATCAGGATTGGGATTGGATTGGGATCAGAATCGGGATCAGGATTAGGAGGATCAGGATCAGGATTGGGATTGGGATTGGGATTGGAGTCAGCATCAGGATCAGGATTGGGATTAGGATCAGGATTGGGGTCAAGATTGGGATCAGGATTTGGATTGGGATTGGGATTGGGGTCAGGACTGGGATCAGGATCTCTGGATTAGGATTAGGATTGGGATTGGCGTCAGGATTAGAATTGGGGTCAGGATCAGGATTGGGATCGGGATTAGAATTGGGATCAGGATTGGTGTCAGGACTGGAGTCAGGGTCAGGACCAGAATTGGGATCGGGATCAGGATCAGGAGGATTGAGACTGGGATCAGGATTGGGATCAAGATTTGGATTGGGATTGGGATCAGAATTGAGATTTGGATTGGGATTGGAGTCAGGACTGGGATCAGGATCTCTGGATTAGGATTAGGATTGGGATTGGGGTCAGGATTAGAACTGGGGTCAGGAACGGGATTGGGATTGGTATTGGGATTACAGTTGGAGTCAGGATCAGGATTGGGATCAGGATTGGGATTGGGATTGGGATGGGGACTGGGATCCGGATCAAGATTGGGATTGGGATCGAGATCAGGATCAGGGCTGGGATTGGGACCGGAATTGGGATCAGGATCAGGATCTCAGGATTGGGATTGGGATTGGGATTGGGATCAGGATCAGGATCAGGATCAGGATCTCAGGATTGGGATTGGGATCAGAATTTGGGTCAGGATTGGGATCAGGACCAGCACTGGGATTGGGATTGGAGTCAGGATCAGAATTGGGGTCAGGATTGGAGTCAGAATCGGGATCAGGATCAAGATCGGGATTGGGATCGGGATCAGGGCTGGGATTGGGATCAGAATTGGGATTGGGATTGGGATCAGGATCTCAGGATTGGGATTGGGATCAGGATCTCAGGATTGGGATTGGGATCGGGATCAGGATTGGGATCGGGATTGGGATTGGATTGGATTGGATTGGGAATGGGATTGGGATTGGGTTGGGATTGGGATTGGGATTGGGATTGGGATTGGGATTGGGAATGGGATTGGGATTGGGATTGGGATTGGATTGGGATTGGATCAGGATTGGATTTGGATTGGATCAGGATTGGATTTGGATTGGGATCAAGATTGGATTAATTGGATTGTGACGATCCCAAAAGATTAAAATTGAATGTTTGGGATGATCCCAAAACCCCTAAAATTAAAAGGAAAGGCTCCGGATGATCCCAAAAAATTAAAAGCCTGGGATGATAAAAAAAAATTTAAATGATTGGGATGATCCCCAAACCCCCTAAAATTAAAAGGAAAGGCTCTGGATGATCCCTAAAAAATTAAAAGTTTGGGATGATCTCAAAAACCCCTCAAATTAAAAGGAAAGGCTGTAGGTGATTCAAAAAAATTAAAATTAAAAGTTTGGGATGATCCTAAAAAATTAAAATTAAATGCTTGGGATGATCCCCAAATCCCCTAAAATTAAAAGGAAAGGCTCTGGATGAAATCCCAAAAAAAATTTCAAAATTAAAAGTTGGAGATTATCCCAAAAAATTAAAAGTTTGGGATGATTCTAAAAAATTAAAATCCCAAAAAGCCTAAAATGAAAATGGAAAGGTTCAACATGAACCCAAAAAATTAAAATTAAAAGTTTGGAATGATCCTAAAAAATTAAAATTAAAATTTTGGGATGATCCCAAAAACCCTAGAATTAAAATGAAAGCTTCAGGATGCTCCCAAAATATTAAAATTAAAACTAAATGTTTGTGATGATCCCAAAGAACTCTAAAATTAAAAGGAAAGGCTCTGGATGATCCCAAAAAAAAAAAATTAAAAATAAAAGCTTGGAATGATCCCAAAAATAATTTAAAGGAAATGTTTGGAATGATCCCAAAAAATTAAAATTAAATGTTTGGGATGATCCCAAAAAACCCTAAAATTTAAATGAAAAGTTCTGGGTGATCCCAAAAAAAATAATTAAAAAGAAAAGCTTGAGATGATCCCAAAAAAATTAAAATTAAATGGGGTTTTTTTCCAAGTTTTTTTTCCTTGTTTATCCCAAATTTTTTGGGATCGGAGCCCCCCCGGGATCCCCAAAAATTCCCGGAATTCCGGGCAGATTCCTCCTCCCCCCTTTTGTCCCGGAAGGGCCCTGGGAGCCGACAGAAAATGGAATTTTTCCCTTTTTTAGAGTTTTTTGCGGCCGCCTTGGAAAGGTCGGGAATTTTCCGGGCTTGGCTCCACGGGATGAGCTCAGAGCCGAGAGAGAGGGGAAAAAATCCCGAAAATCCAGAAAAGTGAGATCAGCCCAAAGCGGCAGCCAAAAAGGCTGAAAAATGGGATTTTTTTGTCCCTAAAAATGGGACTTTTCCCCCCCTAAAAATGAGATTTTTCTCCCTAAAAGTGAGGGACTTTGGCCTGAAAATTGGGATTTTTTTTTCCCCTAAAAATGAGGTATTTTACCCTGAAAAATGGGATTTTTTTCCACAAAAAATAGGATTTTTCCCCCTAAAAATGAGGATTTNCACAGGATGTTCCCCAAAAATTGAAGTTCAGATCCTACAAAATGTAGATTTTTTTTCCCTAGAATTTGGGAATTCAGGGATTTGAGAATTTGGGAATTCAAGGATTTGGGAAATTCAGGAATTCAGGAATTTGCGAATTTGGAAATGTGGAAATTTGGAAATTCGGGAGTTCAGGGATTCAGGAATTTGGGAATTTGGAAATGTGGAAATTTGGGGATTTGGAAATTCAGGAATTCAGAGATTTGGGAATTTGGGAATTCAAGGATTTGGGAATTTGGAAATTCAGAAATTCAGGAATTTGGGAATTCGGGAATTCGGGGATTTGGAAATTCAGGAATTCAGAGATTTAGGAATTTGGAACTTCAGGAATTTGGGAATTCAAGGATTTGGGGATTTGGAAATTTTGGGATTCGGGAATTCAGGAATTTGGGAATTTGGAACTGTGGAAATTAGGGGATTTGGAAATTCAGGAATTCAGAGATTTGGGAATTTGGAACTTCAGGAATTCAGGAATTCAGAGATTTGGGAATTGGGGAATTCAAGGATTTGGGAAATTGGAAATTCAGGAATTTGGAAATTCGGGGATTCAGGAATTTGGGAGTTTAGGAATTTGGGGATTTGGAAATTCGGAAATTTGGGAATTCAGGAATTTGGGGATTTGGAAATTGAGGAATTTGGGAATTTGGAAATTCAGGAATTCAGGAATTTGGAAATTCGGAGATTCGGGAATTCAGGAATTCAGGAATTTGGAGTTTTGGAAATTCTGAAATTTGGGAATTCAGGAATTTGGGAATTTGGTAACTCAGGGATTCAGGAATTTGTGAATTTGGCGATTTGGAAATCCAGGAATTTGAGAATGTGGAAATTCAGGAATTCAGGAATTCAGGAATTTGTGAATTTGGCGATTTGGAAATCCGGGAATTTGGGAATGTGGAAATTCAGGAATTCA